TTATTTTTCAGCTGTAGCCTACTAACATTTGACTTCTCTTGTCATTTTCCGCATTAATTGGTAAGTTTTAAGACAAGTTAAAATCATAACTAAATGTCAAAGCATATGACTTTGACAATTCCAATTTTTTCATTCATTTGACAATTCATTCCATGATGTACACCCACTCTGTAATCTAAAAAAAATTGACGAAAATGTAATTTTTTAACCATATGACGACGTCTTAAAATTAAGCTTTATTCCAATTATTTCATATTTTAATCAAAAGCTTCAATTAAAATTATAAACATAATCAGGATATAAAGATCCACACAAAATTTGACAGCTGCAATAAAAAATTGTGGTATATGGAATAAAAATGCAAATTCAAAGCAACACCAAAAATTATTTCATTTTCTGATCTCAAATCTAGATGTCAAAATATACAACTTGATTGCAAACTTAATTTGTTATTGTTTCTAAACAAATTGTCACTATACAAATTTTGAAACTGTCAAAATTGGAACTGAGCTTTGCGACAATTAAAAGTAATTAACTTTAAAGGTTTGAATGAAATTATACGAGGCAATTCAAATTATGAATTTTCTATTATTAATTTAATGTTGCGTCGTAATTTTTCTGCTAGCAAATCAAAGCAAAAAGTTGTATCTTGCATTATCCGAATCTAGCTAGAAAATCTAATTCCAATGTAATACATTATCAGTCGTTTAATACACAACACACAGCATTAATTAAAATAAGGCAAAATAATTTTTAACACATACATATATATGTATTAAACATTAATTTCTGGGTACAAAATGAAAAATGTATATACATTTTATATCAACTTAAACAATTTCTTTTGTGTTTTTTTGTTTTAATTTTGTGGACGATATCTGAATCTTGAATATTTCTGAAGGTATTATACAAGTTCCTTTTATTTTTTTATTTAACAAAGTATATATGACGTCAGAGACAATTGGCGTAAACACTGGAACTGTAATGGTCGCCTGTTGACAATTTTATTTGTATTTTCCATCCAATAAAATCTCGCCCTTTTCACTTAAAATCCGAAGATATTTACAATCCGTTAATAATTTATCCAATTTTGATAAAAAAAACCTTTAAAATATCGTTGAGTGTAAACGTTTCCTACTACTTTTTAAACCAAGATACTACGAAAAAAAGTTAAAAATGCAACACTGTATGAGGAAGCTTTTTTGTTTGTTATGCTTTTAATTTTGACATTTCAATTAGAACATTTAAAATATAAGTTGTCTTGAAGGTAATTTTCAGTTGAGATTCTGCTGTTCTGTTATCTGTTGTGTTGCAAAATTGTGTATTGTGGAAATATTTTTTTTTTTTGGTGATTAAATTAAATTACATTTAAATAATGGCTGCCGCAGATGTTGAAATTCCCAAGGTAATAAAGTTCCATAATTTTCAGCAATTAAAAAAAAGGTTTGTTTAGAAATACAATAATTTTCTTGTTAAATACAATAATTTTCTTGCTGAGTAGAACTTAGCTTGTTCTACTCATGTCTGGGATCAATTTAAAGTTAAGAAGGCGTAGTTTTAATGTCTGTCGTTTTTTAAATGTTCTTTATTTTTCTTTAAAAACTTGACAAAATTTTGATTTATAGAGTGAAGAAATTTTCAAGATATACATACATTTTTCAAAATATAATTAAAAATTTGAATATAAATTTTGTATTTTATTATGAGTTTTACAAATATGAACAAAAATTTAGTTAATAGTGCAGGAAATAAAAAACAAAAATTTTTACAAAATGAAATGGATAAATTCCATTTTAAATAAAAAAATATTTGCTTGATCTCTTGAGTGAATTTTAATAAAACACATTTCCAGAGTGAAAAAGTATAATCTGGCTGTAATTACATTATTTCGTATAGTAAATACCAAATAATTAAAAAAATGTTCCATCAATAAGTTTTAATCTATTAAGACAGCAACCTAATTGTACGTTATACCTAAATTGCATTGAAACATTTTTGTAGTAATTCATTACATATTATGAAAATACTAGAAATTATCAAATCTTGTTGTTTTTGGAATTTACCTTATTATTTAGATAGACACCTGGTTATATAGTATGTGAATCCATTTATTGTTTTTTTATGTCTCCAGTCTATTTCATATATCAGGTAAACATTCGGCTATGTAAATAAAAAGTTTTCCAAATTACTAAATTTACTAAATTTTTACTTTATTATGTTACTGCAAATGTAATCGAAAAATAAATATGTACCTAGCTATATAACATATTGTAGGTAAATACTTATTGTATGCAATACAATGTGAGTACAAAAATGAATTGCGGTAGGGCATTTACCTTATGTTGAGTAATTTAAAAAGAAATCAATGAATCATAAAGAGAAATATTTATTTTTTTTTATCAAGGACATAAATAGAGAGACGACATTATTACAAGATTTAATAATAAATGGTTTCTAAGATATCAACCTTGTTATATTTTTATAGATTTTTTTGTAATATTAAACTTAAACTGGATAGTATGTTTTCTGTTGCAAATACCTACTATTTCGGTTTTCTTCAAAATATACTTAAAAATTAAATAATATGCAATCGCTTTTAAGTGCTTGTTCAAAGCAGACGGGAAGAAATCATTTATGGGTATGTTCATACTTACATTTTAATAATATTTATTATTGATTGTGACTTTGAAAATTAAAAAATATTTAATACTTATCTACCTAATCAATATACAATATTGCAAAAAATCAATAATACATGTTACCTTTGTACATATTATTCAGCTCTATGTTGGAAATTGTTAATGAGTAATAAGTGATATTTATTCAATAATCTGCATTTAACAGGGGTAAGAATATTCATACACTACGTATACATGTATGCACCTTAAAATAGCAGTATGAGATGTATATATCTACCGGATATCTACTTATTTAAATATCTAATTGAATAAAAATAAACCTTTTTATATGAAAGTGAGTGAATGTAAAAAATAATATAATGTAAGTGCTAAGAAGAATATAATTGATCAATAAATTTTATAATGATGTGGAGTCTTCATACATACATACGAGTAATAATAATTTCAATGCACAGAGCACCTACTTTTTTGAATTTATTTTACTTAATACGTTTTTAGAATATTTAATGAATTTGTAAACTCTTATGTTATGTATGTATGTCATACAACAAGTAAATGTGCTGTATAGAATATATTCTATATCAGATTTAAAATTTCTATAGTATATTATACGCTATGTACATTTGCCACTCTAAAATTGTATTCAAAACCCAACTGTAAAATTCTATTAAAAAATTCTTTTCCTGCACTTTGTTTATTATTTTGGTTTTTTCATTATTTAGTACAATATGGTTACCGTCCCTAAATAGTTGTTTAGAAAACTTTTTGTTTATTTTTACCATACCTTATTATGCAGTGAATATTTATTTATATGATGTACATATGTATGTATATAAGTAATATGTATTTAATATGTTAAATACGTGCCCATATCCGTTGTTTATGGTGGTCAGTGGATATTTAACGTTCTAATATGCTAATGTTAAACTCGATACAATTTTATATTAGGTACCGATTTTACAATTTTTTTCATTTTATTTCCTTCAAATGGATGTATTCTACGTGCACGTATGTATCACATATATGTATGTATTTATATACATAATACATCAATTGTATTTATATTGCATTATTTGTTTATCATGTCTACATTTGCTATAATAGAGCTAATAAAATGGGTTTATAGGTACTCCATTCATAAATTTTATGCTGTTATATACCTAGTTGCTTACGCGATATTTAATTTGCAGTAAGGGGAACAATTTTCACTACTGACCTTAATCACATGAATTTATTCAATTATTTTGTGCCAATTTTTTTAAATTAACACTTTTATAAAATTCAAAAAAATTATTTTGTGTCCATACAAGTTTTTAGAGTAAAATTTTTCTATCGTAACAATTTCTGTATTACATGTTATATGCATTAATTAAGAAATAATTATTCAATTGTATTACTTATAAAAACATATTATAATTATAGATATCTATTTGTTACATACACTATTCTACATATGTACTTTGAATTTTCGTTGCAAGAAAATCATGTTTAACAATTTCGTAAATTAAACTTTTCCAATTTTGAAAAAAAAAAAATTAAAAATTTTACTATTCCTTGGTACAAAAACTATTAAGTTTTGATCTAAAAGGACTGATGTTATTTTTCTTGTAATTGTCAGTTTCATATCAACCAGCAACCTGAAATTTGGAAAAAGTTATTTTAAAGGCATGCAATTCAAATGGAATTGCTGCTCTAATCAAATTTACTGTACAATATTTTCTTTTATTGTTCTCCTTCCTTTTTTTTTATATAAAAGGATTCTGATGCTGTTCTCTTCAATGGCATTCCAAGAAAAAATAAATTCAAGGATCACTTAAAATTTATAAATGCATGAACGATTTCTAAAAATAATTTTTTTTTTTGTACCGATTCCAAAATCTTAATTATCTTAAAAGTTTATCTTTTTTGTCTGAACATTCGTCTGTTTTTTTTAAATAATTTTAATTTATTAAAATTATAAATTAGATTTTTATTATTTTAACTCAAAAAAAATGTTTCGTATAATTAAAATAATGTTATTGTTTTAAGCGAGAGTTGGGTAATAATAAGTTTAGAATTTGAATTTCTTTAACACGTTTTACTTTTAGAAGTATTTATTATAAAATTGAATATTTTGATATTGTGTGTCAACTCGACTTTTGGTTTGAAATGTTATTAATATAAAATATTTTTGATATTTCCACATATTCTTGACATCATTTTCGCTTTATCTAAATCTTAAATGAATTGCACTTACAGTGTAAAAGATGTATTTATAAAGGACGTAATTTTTTTATAGGAAAAATTAAAATTTTGAAGTGGACAGCATATCCTTATTGCAAAATTTTTTCTATTTTGCATTAAAGTAGTACAGTTTTACTTCTGAACGAATAAAGAAAGATTTTTGTAACTAATTTCGCATATTAAAATTGATTGTTTTTGAAAATAAAATATTTGAAAATATTGCAGTTTTAAATATTATAATTTCGAAATGATTCGAATGTATTCCTACTGTTACGTGGTATAAAGTTCACAATAATACATACATTTTCAACTACATATTCTTATAATGAAAATAATATTATTAAATTAAACCTTTTCTAAATAATTTTAGCATGAGCACCATATACGAACTTTGAAATTGGCAGGACATGTTGGTTTTGATAGCTTACCTGATCAACTTGTCAATAAAAGTGTTCAAAATGGATTTGTTTTCAATATTATGTGTATTGGTAAATAATTTTTATTTTTATAATCAGAAAATAAAAATGGTTTAATTATTCTGTTCACTAATTTGCATAGGTGAGACTGGTTTAGGAAAGTCAACCCTAATGGATACACTTTTTAATACTAGTTTTGAATCTACACCCAGTCCACATACATTGCCAAATGTTAAACTCAAAGCCCATACGTATGAGCTTCAGGAAAGTTCAGTTCGTTTGAAATTAACAATTTGCGATACTGTTGGATACGGGGATCAAATAAATAAAGATGATTCATTTAAGGCAGTTGTTGATTATATTGATGCACAATTTGAAGCATATTTACAAGAAGAATTAAAAATAAAACGTTCTTTATCAGCCTGTCATGACAGTCGTATACACATATGTTTATACTTCATTTGCCCCACAGGACACGGTCTTAAATCATTAGATTTGGTTTGCATGAAAAAACTGGATACAAAAGTGAATATAATACCAATTATTGCCAAAGCCGATACAATATCTAAAATCGAGCTACAACGCTTTAAGGCAAAAATCAATCAAGAATTACAATCAAATGGCGTACATATTTATCAGTTTCCAACTGATGATGAAACAGTGTCTGAAACGAATTCCATAATGAATGGTCATGTACCCTTCGCTGTTGTCGGTAGCACAGATTTTGTACGCTTGGGTAATAAAATGGTGCGAGCCAGGCAGTATCCTTGGGGCACAGTGCAAGTTGAAAACGAAGGACATTGTGATTTTGTTAAACTAAGAGAAATGTTAATTAGAACGAATATGGAAGATATGAGAGAAAAAACCCATACAAAACATTACGAGTTGTACAGACAAAAACGATTAGAACAAATGGGATTTACCGATGTTGATAGTGAAAATAAGCCAGTAAGTATGAATAAAATAATACAAATTTTAGATCGTTTTGAAATCAGTAATCCGAATTATATTACACAAATTTATCAAATAAAAGTTTAATGTACTGAAAATGTCTTATCAAAATTTCTTTACATTACGTTCTTTAATAAAATAAAAGTATTGCCATAAATTAAATACTAAATTTCCTTTTTAGGTATCATTCCAACAAACATTTGAAGCCAAACGATCCAACCACTTAGCAGAATTGCAAGCTAAGGAAGAAGAAGTAAGGCAGATGTTTGTGCAACGGGTCAAAGAGAAAGAAGCCGAATTAAAGGATAGCGAAAAAGAGGTTTGTTCTAAATAATATTCATATCGAATAAGTTTTTCTTTTATGTCACTTTAAACCTGCTTTAACTCTACAATTTTCTTGCTGATGTTTTGAATTTGAGATAATTTTGAGATTAAAAAGGTTTGAATTGCCAAAAAATTTTGAATTTAAAAACTCATTAGAGAATTTTTATTACTTTTATATTAATTGATACGTAAATCTTAAATGTTAAAAATTTTAGCTTCATTCTAAATTCGATAAATTGAAGAAAGATCATGCTGAAGAGAAACGTAAATTGGAAGATGCACGTAAGAAGCTTGAAGAAGAATTTGTCGAATTTAATAGGCGTAAAGCACAAATGGCAACCCATCATACTTTGACTTTAGGAAAAAATAAGAAAAAATGAGGTTTATCTTTAGAATTAATATCGAAAAACTAAGGTGTAATAATATGCAAATATTGCATAAATATTTATTTAAATAACATTCACTTTTAATATTTTTGGTGAATAATTTTGTCTTGTTTTTTTAATTTTTTAGTTTTTAAACTAATTTTTAAAAACCAAATAAAGTAACAATTATATGAAAAAAGTATTAATAATTTACTAAGGAAATTTTCATTAAAGAAAATCATTAAATACTAACATTTGTATAAATTTTATCTATATTTCATATTATATTAAACCTAATAAAAAGAATATAATAAATTAATCATTTTACGCACAATTTAAATAAATTTTAAATTAAAAACGACTAATTACAGCTTAAATTTTTAAAGTGGTTTTTATAATTTATATTTACAATAATTATTTTTGAAATTGAAAGTAACGGAGTTCTAAAATCATACCAGATTATAAAAGAATTATTGGGCTTCATTATGAAAAAAATTATCGTACAGTACACGATATTTCCTAAAACTTTTGCAGTGCTAGAGTTACAGCTTTCCGAATAATCGTCAAAAAGTTTTAAATTATTGATTGACCTTCATATTGAAAAAAACACAATTATTCTATTAAAAAAATTGTGTTGTTAATATTTAAAAAAAAAATTACTTTTTATATATAAATACATATATGTATTATAGTTTTTACATACATATATATACTGTAATACAAATACCAAAAATTTTTAATACCATTTAAATTTTTAAATTAAATAATAATTAAATAAAAATACATACGAATAAAAAAATTTGTCGGTTTTACCGGCTATTGCTTCAAAATAACGTCATAAAACGACAATAATGCGCTATGATTATCCTATATCGTGTATTGGATTTTTTCATAAAGGCATTCGGAGTAGAACATTCGTTCAGTTCAATTTAATAAGCTTAAAAAAACAATTAACGGTTACTTTTCATTTGCTTCCTTAATGTTTTTATGAAAATATAAAAGTATTTATGTAATAAAGTTTTTTTTGTTTGAATATTTCTTGTTTGAATTTACAATTAAACAAAAGAATTAAATGAAGCATGGCTCAAGCTTCTAAATAATAATTTTTTAAACATTTTAATTGAAACTTTCCAAACCATTATTTCTTTATTTAGTTTAATATACTCATGGAAGCAGCGATAAGTATAATTAAATTCTTATTAAAACCAAGAAAGGAAGTAAATTCCCAAAAAAAAGTTTGATTTTTTGTTATATGCATACATACATATATATAGTCATAGTATTATTTAAAAAAAAAACATGCGTTTTATACATACTATATTTCATTATATCTTTTAAAAACATTTGTTTAAAATATGTACTGTAATGTAGTTATTAATATACATATGTAAGTAATATTATACATTGTACAGTTTTATTAAGAAACAAATTTCAATGATTTGCTTATTGTAAAATATATATAATATCCATAACTTCAAAATTGCAGTAATACTGTATTTACTACACATTATAATGCCTACAACCGTAAGCTTAATTGTGTATTAAAATTTTATTATTGCATCTTTTAAGTTAGGATATTTCATACATTATCTTGTCATTATGTTTAATTTGTTTTTGCTATCGGATTAAAAAATTTTTTTTCGATTATAAGACATTTTCTGACTTCTAGAAATCTCCATTTTTAAGAGTTTCAGCACTTAGAATTTCTTCATCAAAAATAAATAAAATTTCAGCAACAGTCAAAAGGGAGAATTTCTAAAGTATAATTTTTCTAATATTCATGCCTTTCACGTTACAATCTTTCAATTCATAATAAACCTTGTAGCATATTCAATGATTTCTGGCCGGTCCGGTTGTCAGAAAACTTTCCAGGAACACTTATAATAATCTGAAACCTTTTCGACGATATATCGTATAATTTATTTTTAATAAATTTTTTTAGAAGCACCGGAATGGTGCTAGATCTTCTATGAGACCATTAATAATGGAAAAAGAGAATTTGGTATAAAACTGCATTGTATTTTGTTTAATCTAGCATAACTTGCTCGACTAAAATATATTTCAACACTCCCAATACCTGTGCTTATTCGACGACTGCTGAATCAATGGTTGACATAAGTTTCATTTTCCTAGCCAATAAAGTTTGTTTGCAATACAGAATGAAATGTATGTAATTATTTGATGCAAAAGCCATCGTGTAAACACATCTAATCAATCTAAATTTATATGGCCACTGTATAAACTAATTTCAAAGACTTGACTTATCAATTTTTTTTTCATTAAATAAAAACTTTTGACAGAAATGTATTAAAAATTGAAATTTAATTTAAAAGAAGTGAAATTTTCAACCATTTCTGTTTTGCATACTTACATATTATCTTAATAGTAAAGAGAAAAGTTTTTTCAAAAGTAACAATAAAAAGTAATCGCCAATATTAAAGTAATCATTTGCCATATCAATGCATAATTCATTGAATATTTTTACGCTTGTAGGGGAAGTGACACATCCCGAGTTGTTAGAAATTTTATTCATTTTACAAAGAAAAATACGCGTCAAATATATTAAATATTTTTCTCTTAGTTTTATAGAAATAATTTTTTGGAATTGGTAATTTTGTGCATTGAAAATATTAAAAAAGCATTAGACTTTCAATTGTTTTAATTGTGTTTGGCATCTTTTCTGTCCACATAAATTAACAAGAAAGAAAAATAGTTTTTGACATATGGGTTGTCATTTGATTTGGTGAAATGTCAAATTAGAACTTAACTATGTATGTACTCAAATCAAATTCAAAACTACATTGAATATCTTGGAAATTTAGAAAAAAATACATAAAACATAAATCAAAAAAAGAAATTAGAAAATGTTCAGTAAAAGGGGTTCGAGTTCTGGTGCAAAAGGTAGTCGTTCACAAAGCGGTTCGTCAACTTCTTCTAAAATCACAGTAACGAAAACTCCTCATCAGACTTCAGGGGGAACTAATATTATATTGGAAACGAATGATACGGAACCGACCGTTAATATACCATTTATTAAAATTGGTGATAATGCACGTTTATTGCCAAAATATTCGTCTTGTAAGATAAAAATTTACCATTTTGCTATTTACGCATAGTTACAATATTAAATTAATTTAAAATTTTAGCGTTAATGAGATCGAAAGATGACTTTGTTCCAGCCGAAGATTTGGATTTTATACAATTAGAATTAGAAAGCTTATTATCCACCGTTGCGCAGAGACATAGATTTCTCAAATTGGAATATGAGTCTTTAGAAAAGGATGATAAACGTCGTAGTAAAATAGTAGAAAAACAACCGTCATCACCTGGCAAACGCAAAAGATTAGATGATAAAAAATCTAAGACTTCACAGTTCAAATCAACAAAACAAAAAAATCCAAATTCAACATATTCTCCGGCTGCATCCTTACATACGGATGATAGGTAACTATAAATGTTAACGAATCTTCCCATATAAAAATATTTATTTTTGATAATGCATATTCATTATTTAATGTTTTTTTTTAATACAACAGCAGTGAGTCAACAACACATTCGATACCTCAACAACAGCAGCAACAGCAACATCAGCAGCATCAACATCATCATCCGCATCATCACACCCAAGCACATCATGTACCAAAAAAGGAACAAAAGCTAATGCTGCCTAAGAATGATATCCCAAATAAATTTTGGCTTTCAGTTGAGCCTTATTGTATGCCATTAACTAATGAGGATCTTAAAGTTAGAACAATTTTAATTCTTTTTAAGAATCTGTTATATTTTTGTTAATTTTAAATTTTAGTTAATTGATGATTTATTAGAGCAGTATCAAGGGCCTTTAATACCACCTATACCTGATCTTGGACCTCACTATAGCTCTATATGGGCGGCCGAAGATATTAAGGAAGAGAAAGACAACTCTAGTTCAAACCCAAAATCAAAATCAAAAAACAGTTTACACACAAATAATATGGACAGTGGGGACTTATTAAAAAAGGGGGAGAAAATAATGTAATTTTTTTATAATTTATTATTAAATTGACGACAAACCAAAAAAACTATTTCATTTAGGGGTGAAGGTATTACAGGACCCTTAACGCAACGTTTGGTTTCAGCATTAATGGAAGAGAATTTAATTACGGATGGTTTTTCAAATGCGGACAGCAATAGTAGTTCCGAAAATACCACATCAAATTCCGCCTCCACCTTAAGATCTCTTTCTCTAATGAAAAATGGCATAAGTATAGAAAAGCGAATGAAAAAGGAGTTAATAGAACAAGGAATATTGGATTTAGATGATTTTCCAAAGGTTAAGACCTTAATAGCTTCAATGACATTTTAATTTTAATTAATATTTGATTCCAGAATGATGAAGATGAAATATTAAATGAAATAAAACGTGTTGTAGCTGAGTTAACTGCCATTTCAGAATTCAATCGAACTGAACTACAAAATTTAAAATTAGCTGCAAAAGCAGAATTACAAAGACTGGAAGTTAAAAGGAAATTAGATCAAGTAGATCAGGAAGTAATTTTTATTTTTTATTTTAATTGCAATTTTGTCTATTATTTTGCGGTTTTTAGATCATAGAAATGTACAAAAAAGTTCTAATAGCAAAGCAGAAACGTCGACCGTTAACTTCGAATGAGCAGGAAGATATATTCAGATTAACGCAAGAGCAAAGAAGATTATGTGAACAATTAGATAGCATGCCAGTTCCTGGACCAAATTCAAAGGAGTAGGTGCTTTCTTCTGTCCTATTCTTTTTCATTTTTTATTAAATTACCACTGCTAGTTTTAAAAAAAATCTTTACTTTTAGTCTTAAATTATTAATTGGACATTTAGTTTTTATCGTAACTTTTAATATTAAATGTTTAGTTTTAAAAATAAATTGATTTTTTTCTATTTAGAAAAAATTTTGCTGTCAAAAATATCTTAATATTTTAATTATTTTAGTTAAAATTAGGCTACAACATTTTTAAAATTAAAATAAAATAGCTACATATATATCTGTAGAAAAAAATGAAGAAAAAATTGAAACATATTAGAAAGATCTTTAAAAAAATTTAAAAATAAAATAAAAAGAAGGAAACAAAAAACTTGTGTTTAAAAAAAATTTATATGCATGGATAATATATTATACAATATTTAAATTATTATAGTAAAATTATACATACATACATATATTTATTATAATATTAACAATTTGAATTATTATTTATATGCATCTCAAAAATGTCTTAAAATTTCACTGAAACAAAAAATATTGTAAAAATATTAATTTTTAAACGTGTGATTTGATTAATTCATGCCCCACAAATGATGATGATGTGCTGGACCGCGATTAAGGATGTTCTAAAGAAGTTTATGGTGAGAAAAAATCTTAATTGCCCATAGCCAAAGTAAAAATAGTTGAAAATATTAAAGTACGAAATTTTATTAACATTATGGGAAAAATACTTGTTCATTTTGTTGAAATTCAATGAAGAATTATTTATATGCATTCAATAATTTAATTGAAATTGAACATAATTTAGATGTTCGAATTAAAAAAATTATTTACTGAGTTGATTGGAATTTTTAAAATCAATTATATCAAATCAGCGTATATAATGAAAACATACAATCGAAGAAGTATTAAAACAAAATCTCAAAACTAAAGGATATTGTAAAAAAACTTTAAGATTTTAAAGAGCTTTCGAATTTGGCCCTCAAGAACTGTGATGTTATCAATAAGCAACTAAAATTGTGGATGAAAATAACAAATTTGCCAAACAGAATCGAATTTTGTTGATGAGGTATTAGGTGTGTCGAAACGTGAAAAATTTTTGCATCTTTGATCACGCTTGTTTTTAATTCTTTGCTTAGGTCGACTCGAACATGTGCTGAAATTTTCTACCCTGTTAAGATATGTCTTACCTAAATGATGTGACACGGTTGAATGTACCGAACTATTAACCCTCTTCAAATAATCCTTGTAAAATTAATAGGTTGTGAGCTTATTATTTAATTTCTATTCTTTCTGATCTATCTCTAGGCTTTTTGAAAGCGCAATAGAATTTATTATGTATTGCATTTACAAAATTTCCGGGAACAGTAGTAGTATCGAAGAATTTTATTTTAGGCTAGCCAGAAGTGGTAATAAAGATAATACAATGTATGTATGTATGTGCATATACATGGAAGTATACTCACATTTATGTAAGAAACTTAATTAAGGTTTAATTACAGGATTTTTGTCATACGGTTTACAATCAATTGGTGTTGTTAATATTTTTGAAAGTCAAGTGAAAGTGTTCCAGTAAGGTCAATGGATGATTGAGTTCACAAAATTTGTGAAATTCATAAGATGAATAATTAAAGAAAAATGAGGATCTAATTGTAGCCTCTCGCTCTTTCTCGCACTGAATGAGATGAAAGTGGGGGAGTATAATATAATCCCATATATGCAATTTTCGAATTTATTTACTGCATACGCCATTTTAAATTTTTAATTATTTTACTAAGATAATAGATTGTTGAAACTTCTATTAATTTATAGGTCTATAAAAAATTTTGATTAGAGTATACATACATATGTACATATATCTACATAAGTTATAAACTGACAGATTTTATTTGTTTCTGATTTTTTGTATGAGTTGTTTTGATTCTGAATCATTGTGATAAAATAGAAGATAACAGGTGTTTCTACTTTCAAAATTACAGTTACTTAGAATACGTCTTTTTTATATATGGTTACATCTAGTTTCTATAAAAAAATACTTTTTTTTTTAAATTCAGATAAAGTTATTTTTTATTTATTATTTCTAGTTCAATGTTTATTTACTTCTTTTAGGTTAACGTTATTGATTAATTTATGTAGAAATTTTGAAGCCAAATTTATTGATTTTCATACCCTATATTTTTATCTATTATTAATTAATATTTTAAATAGAAATATTTTTGTTTTTTTGATAATGACTGTTGACAGTTCTATGTGCAAATGCTATATTAGGGTGGGCAGCTGTTTTATGAGAAAAAATGTTACGTAATTGGTTTGTATTATAATAGTGCAACTATGCTGCCTTGGGTTTTGAAAAATTATATTTGGGTATATAAAAGTTAAATTAATGTGAAGTATGTCTTGTGAAGAACGGGTGGTTAAATTTTTACTTATATTGACTCATATTTATAAAGTGAACATTTTTCATACTTCTACAAAGATTTTATTATAATAGATTATTAAATTTAACAAATGTTAAACATACTTGTAATTATTGCAGGTTTGCAATATTTTAGCTCCATTGGAATTAAACAATAAAAAATATCACTTCTGCGTGACCAGGTATGGATATTTACTTTAACATTTAGTAAAAAATCACTTTAACACTTTAACATTCACACACATACATATATGTATTAATATATGTATGTGGTTTGCATAAATTTTCGCACTGAAAATATTACAATATCATATTAGTAAAATTATATTAAAACTGATATATTGAGCGGATTTGATGAAAAAAAATGAAATTCTTTGACCCACCTTAATATACATGCATACGTAAACATCTAAATAATGTTTTTCTATGTGTAAGCCATTGTTTGTATGCTTCAAAACATAAACCAAAAATAAATTTTTTCTTTAACTTAATTTTTTTAATACTAGGTATATATTTTAAATGTTTAATTGATGTTAACTTTAACCTTGAATTTAACACCTTTTTGGAAATCGAAATATACATTTGATCAATTTGACTTAGTTGAAAAATGAAAAATGAATGTGAATCATTCACTAGGTAACATTGTATAGCGCATTAAAAACAAAAGAGAAATATTGCTTTTCTCAGCTTTCACCTAATTTATTTTAGTTCAGTAAATCAACTTAGAAAACTGAGTGTTACGTTGAAATCTAGTATACGTTGGTACTCTTGCTAAGTGCCCTGCTATAATATATGGTTGCATATAGAATCTTATGAGAACGGGTATGTATGTACCTAAATAGATTTAATAATGGTTGTTTCACATTCCTATAAAATTTGTATTTTTGGGAAAAGAAAATATTTAAAAAAGCGAAAAAATTATTTGTATTGCAGTCGTTAAAATGATGTTAGTATTATACCTCCTCTAAAAAATGTAATTTTTACTGAAGCCAAAAGATTTCAATTTCTTCTAAAGAGATTTCATATGAAACACTAGGTATATAGTTTAAATAATAAAATTTATTTATGGCAATAGTCAGAATCTTTACAATTTTAATCATAAATATAGCATTTTTTCAACTAATTTATTTGGAAAGGATCAATTAAGAGAAATTCAAAATTTATAGTTACAGGTAGTAAGGAGTAATATTAGAAAGCGTTCGTAGCAAAGCACCCAAACAACATTTTATCTGGTTATAACATTTAAATGAAACAAAGGACTTATGTACATGCAATTTTCAAAACATAAACCTATTCCTTAATATTGGTCATAGTGTTGGTTATAAATTTCATTGAAACTTGTTAACTAACAATTATTATAAAAATAAGAGCATATTAATTAAAAATTGTTAAAGAATTTACAGAAAAATGCACAATTAAAATTTTTTGTACTCGAAATAGTTATTTGTTCAACTCATTTTTAAGATAACAAGTTTAATCAAATTACTAAAAATTAATAAGAAGCAAGAGCACCGATAATTTATTGTTTGGTTTCACACTTTTTATGAAAGCCTTTAAAATCTTGAAATTGAAAGCATAAAAGATTTTTTTACATTTGATAGCTTCAATTAAAGCTTAAAGTGTTATGAGAACATGTAATTTTTTAAAAATATTTCACACGACGTTGGATATTGAAAACTTAAAAAACAAAAAAAGCGAAAAATCTGAATTTTTTTAAAATTAAAATGCTTAGCATATCAGAAGCACATAACATAGGAAAGAAAGTAATATGTTCATTTCAAGCGAGTTATTATAATCTTTTGGAAAACTTTTGTTTGAATCATAAACATTCCATCAAAATATTTTTAAAATCCCCGTATATAAATAATTGTTGAGCTTTGGCATCCACTTTAGAACAGAACATTTACTCATTTTTGATTCCTAAACGATGGTGCACAATATTGTATTACACACCCTGCGTGGGAATATATTATAAAATACTAAAATAATAACAAATAAAATTAAACAACAACTAATTTCAATTAAATTACATTTCGTCGGTTAAAAGGCAAAAAGCACTAAGTGGATTTTTTGAGAATTCGGATTTTATAGATGAATTAAATCAGAATAATATAATCTTTGTTGTGGCAAAAAATCATGCAAATCCAGAATATAGTTTATAAATCCAGAAATCAAAGAGACCAATCGAATTGCACTAATTGATTAGTTTTACAATTTTACGATTTTTTCAAATTGAATTTAATCAAAACACAGTTTCCTGACTTAATGCTTTCTGCTTCTTAATCGACGATTTTTTCCTTAAAAATTTTTCAAATTTCACTTTATCATTTAAGAACTTTTGTAATTCTTAGAAAACATGTACCAGTATTTTCTTGCTTTCTTTTATCTTTTTTGGAATCTGAAATCTACTTTCACATATGGATTCTAGTTACTAATGAAAGATGTAATATTACAAACTGCGTTCGATCTACAATCGTGTCATAGGTAATTGTGACGTAAAGACATCATATCGCTATATTATACCTATATATTTACAATTATGTCTCTATACATTTAATTGCCAATATGAATTTCTTCTTCATTTCTTTAGATTTTAGTTTTTATTAACTGAATATTATACATATGTAGAAGCACTGTTGAAACGGAACACTCTTCAATATTTGCACAAACTACAATAGTGCATAAGACCAGTAAGTATATAAAATAAAATTTTGCTAGTTTACTTCTTTCATATTTCATATACAGCTGCATATACATACATAACCTATTCATATAATATAGTAATTTAAAGAAATATAGGTATAGTCCACTAGATATTTTCTTTTAAGAAAAATAATTATAACGCAAGTAAGAAATTCAAATTAAGTTCCAGATTAT